TAGCAACTCTCTAGGATAAGTTTAAAATTAACATGTATGGTTTTTTGCGAGAAATATTACGCAGAGGAACAGGGAACACCGTCAGGCAGCAAACAATAACCCACCTGTCAAGCTGGAGAAGGTGGATTATTGCGGACGAACGCGAGCAACACGTGTTAACGAAGAAAATGAAGCCTCCAGCATAGACAAAACACCATTTGGAAAGGTCCTCGGGCGATTGTGTGGCACAGTAAGGACACGCGCCTAATGGTTAGAGGGTACCTAAAGCATCTTAAGAGAAAGACACTGTCTAAACATGCAACTCAAGAAGTCATTAATTATCCCAGTACTGCGACAATGTCAATCGTGACGAAAGACACGAACTGCAAGCTGACTAGATGAGCTTTGTCGCCCAGAAACTACGTCATCAGCTGCACGGACAAAAAATTCTTCGTTCTGGCTCCAAACCAACCAACCTTTGTGATGACACGCACTTCCGAAGTCGTTCAACCAGTTTCCTTTCCTCTAAGCAGGTCGGGACACAAGGGCCGAAACATTGGTACTGATCAATCATCCGACAAATCTTATATTTGCGTTTTTTATTAACAAGCCATTTTATGCTCCTTTTGAAATTTAATATTCTTCATTTGTAAAAGTATTTGATATTTTACTTAAAGCTGATATTTTGATTAGACTAACTTTCTCACTTGATTAGAATGACTTTTTGTTTATAGAAGCACTTGAGGTCATTGTTCAACTATGACCCAGAAGATGATCCGTATCTTCCATGCCGCGAACTCGGTTTAGGGTTTAGCAAGGGAGATGTGCTACACGTGATATCTGTGAAAGATCCCAACTGGTGGCAGGCCTACCGAGAAGGAGAAGACAGCACACAGTCGCTCGCTGGACTCATTCCATCACCTAGTTTTCAGCTACAGTATGAGTATATGACTTTCTAAACAACAGTATGCTTTGTATATTTTAATATGTGCTGCAATAAAATAGTTTCTTCGAATTATAAAGTTTTTGTCAGCTGCATACGTAGTGTTCAGAATTAGGAGTCTTATGATTGTTAGATATTTTAAACATGTTAATGTGAAACTTAAAGCTATATTCTCTAGGAGGGAAGAGTACAACCGTGAACTCTTTGCGGACGATAAGGATAGAGAGTATAAAACAGGTGGACTTTTGTGCAAAAGCAAGAAGAAGCGAACGAGCTTCATTCGGGCGCGGAAGAGTGCTTCTGCCGTGGCAATAGAACGCCAACGCGAAGTGCTAATCTACGAAGAGGTGTCCTTGTACCTCTCACGGACTGGACGACGACGTCCCATCGTACTGATTGGACCTCCTCACGTCGGCTGTCTTGAACTCAGGCAGCGGCTGATGGAGACCGAAGCGGAGAAGTTCGCCGGAGTGGTTCCGCGTAAGTGCGACATCTACATCTTTTGTTCAATCTCATTCAAAGCTAGCATTATGCTAGTAAACCCATAAAATCAGGTTTGGGTTTGTTTTTATGTTCTATTCAATCTCTTGCCATGTTTTTCTGGATTTATGCGGCATTATCGTCCGACTCCTTCATTCTAACAGCCTAATGGACAGGGAACCCTCTAACCAGGCCACAACCAGATTGCATATATTACCGTCCATAGCAATATTGACTGATATTTATTCTCAGGTTTCCTGTGGGATAAAGATTAAGCCGTTGCTTAGGCGGAAATTCGATAAAAACTGTAGTTTTATTAATCCGGATTTCTGGTTCCTTCTCAAAGACTTGACATATCTTGTTTGTTCTAGTGCAAGCCGTCTGTGCACATGTAGGGTGTCTTTTAATATTATCTCGGCAAAATGACCGCACGAAAAATGTGATTTTACCTCACCTCACTTTCTTAATGTTTACCATATGGCTTCATCTCAATCTGCCTCTGAGTTGTGCTCTGTTCAAAGGACGCATGGCGAAAAATATCACTATATATTTTGATTGAAATTTCATATAGATCGTTCCTCATCTATCCATTCTTCAGTCTGTAGTCACAGTGTCATTTAGACAGATGTTATCTTAAAGACAAAGTTATCCATCTACATATCTTGACATTGTCTCGTTCGCCGGCTCTCACAGAATTCATGGTTGATATTTACTGCCAATGTCATCTTTTAATTTACTCATTGCCTCCCTTCCACGACCTCGACTCTGAATAGATGTGTGCACAGCAAAGGAGTGCGGCGCTACGCATAATACTGAAAAACATAAGATGACAATTCCAAATTCGAAAAATCTCTTAACGGAATGACATTGCATATCGAATTTATCTTCATATTCGTCATCTTCTATAACCGCTTCTCTTTTTGAACCGGAGAGGCAAACGCGTCATACACTGCTGCCTACGTTCCTCATCCTGAGCCAGAGTCTGAGCATCGACAGAACACAACTAGAGTCGGGAACGACTCCTTCCATGTATTTGCACCAGGTTAATCTTGGCCGTCCCCTGGGCCTTCTGCCGATCGGTTTCGCAAGAAAGAGTTGCTTAGCCTTCCCTTTTGGAGGCATTCGCAGCAAATGCCAAAACCATCGCAGCTGTGAATTTTCAACCGGAAGAAGCAGAGGCTGTACATCAAGATTCTCCAGGATGTAAGTACTCCGGACGATGTCGAGACGCGTAACGAAAGCGACTCGTCTAAGAAAGCCCATTTCAGCAGGCTGTACCCGGGTTCGAAGTTTTTCAGTGATGGTCCACGATTCATGACCGTAGGTAAGCATGGGGATAAAGA